TAAATATCCGAAATATTAACAGACAACGTTAAAGAATTTTCCTCCCACAAGTTTTCTGACTTTTGCAAATTGATGAAAACGCGACACACCTTCACATCCGTTTATCACCCCCAGTCTAATGGAAAAAATGAAACATCACACATCATCTTAAAAGAATACATTCATTATCAAATCGACGAATATTTGGGACCAAATCCTACCCAAAACCGTGCTCAATTATAATTGCACGATGAATCGTTCCACCGGGTATACACCTATTTGAACTCCAGTTAGGATACGAATCAAATAGCATTTTTGACGAACAAGACGAATATCTGACGTTACAACAAGTAGAAAACCTCAAAATTGAACATGAAAACAAGATATTAGGAACAATAGAAAACCTCCATGACCAACAGCCATCAACCTCCTATAAACACACGAATCCACATGGCAAGGAAATAAAATCCTAATTGGTAATTACAATGCGAAACGATTAGAGAAACGTTGGCGAGGCCCATTTGAGGTCATGGATACTATCAATAATCATTCTATAAAAATTAACGGAAACGGAAAATCTACAGTTCATTACAGAACAAATGTAAAGTTATTTAAACAAGCAACTCTTTCGGATGACAAGAATGATAGCTAGATATTTTGAAAAATGTATAATGACCTTGGCACTCCAATGGATTACGGCTTCTGGTTCAACGAATCACATCCACGGCGAAAAATTTAATGTAACTAATCAGGAAACCGCATTCCTCGAATATTTAAATAGACTAAGGCTTTTCCACGAACAATGGAAAATCGTTGTAGAATGATTTCGCACATGTTGAGGCTGATCTTGAATCGATCCAGTGACGCGTCATAGCTTCATGAGGCCCCGGGCAAATTTGAATTTGGGGGCCCCATGTACAGTAAATGAGGTTATAAAAGATTGGTTTGGGGCCTCCCTCATTGGTGGTGGCCCCGGGCAATTGCCCCTTTTGCCCACAGGATAACGCGCCACTGAATCGATCAAACAGCTTTATATCCGCCTAATCATCGGGCTATGCATACGCGAAATAAACGGGAGCCAATTTATGTGCTCCTCAAAACCAAAACTACTGAAGGGCGTAGAAGATTTCACCGGTATGCGTGGAAAGCTTCGCAATGCATTGCTCCTCGCGTACTAGTCATGGGCTCTTCGACTTCGTTGGTCAAGTCAGTGAAACTCTATTCGGCACAGTCACGGCAGACTCACGACCAAGTCAACCGCATTAATTCTTGATTTGGAACTCAAACTAAACGACGTTAGAAATCAAATTAGAAAAATTGAGGACCTCACTTTTGATGCAAAATATGGCATTGTAAAACCACACATTTTTACACTGGAGCAATTGTTTAAGATACTTAGGGAACACGAACATGTAAGTAATTTCTCAGTTACTCTCGAAGAGACGTGTTACATGTCGCTAATAGATATTTGCAATGTAAATTGTTGCGTCGCAAACGCAACTGGTAAGAGTTTGACTTTATGACACGGACGACCAGGCCTGCTATTCTTGAAGGCTTCTAATTTAAATTCTTTTGTTTTACTTTTCCTTCCGAAGCGATGACGATAACCAGAAAGTGTTTTATGGACTCAGAAACTCGATGCTTCTGCGTGCCATACGCCTTCCTGGTGCCCGTACATTTCCTTCAATAGCACTTGACGTGTCGTAAAACCACTACACACACACATTTCAGTCCCGTTTGGACTGATCTTCCTCTGGGCCTCATACCCCCACCACGATGTCATACCACCACCCTGTCGACTGGGGAAATCCATGGTGGGCTGCGTACTTCCCACTCATGAAGAACAGCCAACAAAGAAGGGCTCCTATTTGTTACCATAGGCTACCCCCTCAACACATAGTTTAACATAAAACAGCGAGAAAGGCCCAACGCGCCTCAATGCCCATCAATAGTCCAAAAAGATCATATAGCAGTTTACGTTCAATAAGTAGTTCACACATATATTTTCACACTCAACAATCAATTCGACTCGCACAATATTAAGTTGGCGTGTGAGAGACGCGAAACACTGACTTTAATAAAGATTAAGAATCGCGTCACAATATAAATATTGCGCTTAATGGAAAAAGAGTGTTATTAGAAATTAAGATCTCTCTCCTAGAAGAACAAGTCTTTAACCTAGTTAAAGTAATTTCAATACCAGTACACGGCTGGCTGTTTCATTCGATATTAAACACACAACAAAGACTTGTCCTTCTAGACCCACTGCGATTATTATTTATTCTAACAACGGAAAACGACAAAATCCATACAAAAAAGCTTAACAACGAATTAATACTAAAACGCAAGACACCTGACTTTTTAATAGTTTTAAGGGAAATTGTTTAAGACATATACTTACCAGACACGAGACTAAAAACTATGAAACAAGGTATATGCAAATACAAAACACAGTGTAGATCCAGTTACACACTGACAACTAATAGATTGAAATAGCATCAAAGAAAGAAACTTTGCACATACTTTGTTCGGATCAGAAACCTCGTCATGTAGATTTCTAACGATTTCTAGATTGATTTCTAAATCAATCAAAATTTTATTATCACCTTAGCACCCGATTGTAATGGTATGCAACACGCTCGGTATAATGGTGTGCGTTCCCCTACACAAACGCCGTTTAAAGGGACAGCAAGGTCTAAACTCGAAGGCAAGCCCGAACCAAACGGCGTTTGTAGGGACACGCATACCATTATACCGAGCGTGTCCTACACGGCTAGATCCCTTCAAATGGCAGAGTGTTAGTGGGTCCTAGTCTATACGTATAGCTCTATACAATCAAATCGTTGTCAAACTTTATCAACGTTTATCTGGGAAACTATTTGTTTGCGGCATATGGCTCCATTCAGACATTTTCTCTTCTCGTCGAGCAGAATACGTTGATGTAAAAAAAAAATTTTACATTAATTTTCAATGTTATAAACAATTTTGCGGAAACTTTTTTTTACAAATGTCCACCGATCCAAGGGTATAGATTCACCCCCTGAAGCTTTGACCATTAATTTTTTTACACTTTGTATATAAAATATCCAAAAATACCTGAAGAAAATTACCTATTGGTCGAAAAGTATAAACGTCAAACACGACGAAAACATTTTTAAATTTGTTTGCGTGAGCGATGCTCCAGGTAGGTCTTCATTTTATATATTTCATTTTTGCTGTAATTTCACGAAATTTAAAAAATGTTTTTGACCATGAAACGATTACGCGTCGCTACGGCACTACCGAGTCGGTGTAGGCGAGCGATAGCCGCATGGCGGCAAAACACTGTGTACATATTGCCGGCGGATATTTCCTCGACCTGTTCGAATTCAAAACCGTTCCGACACATTTTCTGAATGGTTCCTTCATATCTACAGAATTCGATACTGTATAGCAAATTTGTGCTAGATAAAGAACTTTTCATAAAAATGCAAAAGTATTGTGTAGAAGGTACACACATCGGCTCATTTTTAAACTGCTAGCCACTCAAGCTTTCCAGTAATAAACATTTCTTCTTCGTTCTATTGTAAAAATCTAGGAGCCAGGAAACGATTAAGCTGGCAGAGTCATTCTGCCAACCGTACGAGAAACATGTATCGTACAAACGCAGAATATTACGGTAATACATTTTTTACAATTACGGTATACAGAATGTAAACGGGGCAGTTTGGCTATTTTGCAATTACGATGTAGCAACGATTTATTTTTTATAATATTGTCGAAAACAGTAAAAGTGACTTGTGCAATGAAAGTGACCGTACAGTGAAGAGAGTTCACCGACCCGGCCGTAACATCAGCTGTTGAGGGTTGCATTGAAATGTCAGGATCAACACAATGACCCAGTGTCAACGACCCACTTCCGTCGAAGCAGGTTAATTCGTGGACGAATGGGTAAGTTTTTCATAAGTAATAAAACACTTTATTTCTTTCGGATAACGAATAAAAGTATCGAAAACAGTTATTAATTTCTCAAAATTAGTAAAAGCATTTAATTTGAATAAATGGTAGTATTTGTAAAATTTTCACCTAATGCATCACACAGTATATTTAAATAGTTTTATTTCTAACTATTGACATATTATTTATGCATATTGCAATGTGTTGTATTAGAATAAAAAATTCTTTTCGGCACTGTGGACAAGTTACGCAGAATTGGTCCGGCATTCAACGTGTTAAACGACTTATTAGTTTATTTGTTATTCATGAATAACGAATAATTCTAGATTATTCTTAATTTAAGACGATCTAACATTTGTCGCGCGCTTCCCTAGATAGCCACCCTGTGCCAGTGCGTTTGTTCACGATCGTGCGCGGATGAGTCTCTACGCTCCCGTGCCTGAGCGCGGGCTCTACACGTGCTCTGATTGGCCAGTGTCTTTCGTTAATAATTCAAAAACGAAACTTCAACCAACATTTTGGTAAAGGAAAAAGTTGTTCAGAGTCGCCCCAGCAACCCCCCATTTCCGGGTGTTACACTCTTTACGAAACACCCTGTATACATGCTGAAAATTTCATCTCAGAAGATGTAAGAATCTTCAGATTTATTACAGTTATGGGCCTATTCGTGAAATAGTGCGATTTTCACAATTTTTAACCGTTTATAGCACATAGCAACTATATAATTTACATAAATCTACAAAACGTATGTTTGAAATTTTCATTACAGGCTCAGATAAAAAAGTTGTAAAAAGTGACCTTTACAATTTTCTTCGTATTTTCCACAAATTGCAATTTTTTTCAAAATTGTTTGTACACGTCATCTAGTATACTACTCCTTCTAACTTCTCAAAAAAAAAAAAAAGAAACTCAAGTCTTTGATTCAATTTTAAGAAAGTTATATTTTTCTAAAGTGTGTCCGTATATTATTGAGAGTAACTGTAGGTGGAATCCGAGCGACACTATCGCCTCTACATCCGTTCTTTTCGTAATCAATTATTTCATGCTTTAGAACCGGTGTTCGCACTGTTGCATTTATTTAACCTATGGTACGGGTACATCTCGTTTCATTCTACTCGATTTGACTTGTGATCACGCTTAAAAGAGTAGTCAGTAGTTATGGATTCTACTTGTCAAAATTCAGATTTTAGTGCTAAATACTTACTTAGTCAATTAAATGTAGCGCGAAAAGAAATTAATAATTTGAGGTATTATTTGAATTATCTTATTATATACTGTCTTCATAAAATCTAAAAATTATTCAAAAAGATATCAACAAGTTCCATTCAAACATGCTGTTTTCTTCATACTTCTGCATTTCTAGTATACATATATAAATGTATATATATACATCTGTACGCATACATGCGAGCGTATATGCATGCAATGTATGAATATTCTTGCAATAAGAGTGAAATAAATATTTATTGTTTTTTATTAGAATATTATATTTTTTATTGAAAATTATTATGTTTCACTTTAATATGTATGTATTATACATGTATAATATGTATGTGTTCCAATTTTTAATTTTTACAGACAACAAATGAAGAGTCTTCGATATATACATGAAAAAGATATCGATACTATAAAGCGTCTCTTAGAATCATACAGAAATGGATCACCCATGTCTGAAGCAAAAGTTATAATTCCAGATGATGTAAAACCTAGCACTAGCACTGATGATGATACTATAAAGTTGAAACCAATTGGGGTAATATCTACTTGGTTTCCTAGTAAACGTGGTACACCTAGACAGACAGGAGTTTGTGGAAAAGTACCAGGAAAGCTACTACTATACAACTCAATATTTACTAATCCAGATCATGCTCTTGAAGGATTACAAGATTTTTCACATATGTGGTAAGATGATTAAAATATAATTTTTAAGTTTGATTTATTTATAAAGTGTTGATCAATATTATTTAAGCTAAACGTTTAAAAAGTTTAACAGCTTTCTTGTTATCTCTGTTACCATAATATTTAGTTAATGTCATGTTATGTGTAAACAGCACATAGTGAATTATAAAAATATAGTATTTTTTTGAAAACCATTTTTATTTTCACAGGGTTCTATTTTACTTTCATAGGAATGACTCAACACATGTTCGTGCTAAAGTTGCACCACCAAGGTTAAATGGTACAAAAACTGGTGTATTTTCTACACGTTCTCCTCATCGTCCATGTCCAATTGGTTTAAGTTTAGTAAAAATTACAAACATAGAAAGTCATACAATTTATTTTGAAGGTGTAGATATGGTAGATCAATCACCTGTATTAGATATAAAACCTTATGTACCACAATATGATAGTCCATTAGGTTTTGAAAAATTAAGTAACAGATTGCAAGAATCTAATTTAGTTGATACATTTGAATGTATAGAAGAAACAATTGGAGATCAAACATGTGGCACATTCAATACTAACATTAGCCTCGAAAACGAAACAAGAAATTTACTTTCAGATCCTTATTATAGAAAAAATGTCAATAAAACAAATCAAGAGACAGATGTTTCTAGAGATGAAGAAATTGCTATAAGGTTACAAGCAGAAGAATTTCAGAGAAATTCGAATTTCGAAAGTTATAATAGTTTGAGACATTTTTCTGAATTAAGTGATATTAGTTTGCACAATAATAGTATATTACAGCATAATATAGATGTAACAGGTATACACAGAATATCTCACACATTTTTCGATTCTTTGTCCAATGCAAGAACAAGTTTAAATACATCTACTGAGCATAATGTACTTCCTTCTAATTTGGAACAACAACCAGAAAGTTTAGTAGATATAAATAATAGATTGCAAAGTATTAATGTAAGTGGTCGTACCAATGTTGAACCAATATATGGATCAAGTAATGTGGGATCTAATTACACAGAAACACATGTTTCTCGCTCTAGACTTTTAGATGGAGCAGATGGACCAAATACTATTTGCGGTACTGATATAGATTTAATTAATAGACGATCATTAAATTCGAGAATTGATAATTCTCCCGTAAGAATGGGGGTACGAGAAGCTCCTGATGGAGAAGAAGGATTAGAGCCGCAAATTCTTACACCTTTGCAACCTTTGTCGAATCAGTTGATACGAACAATATCAAACAATAGCTTACCAGATAGCGTAGGTACAAATACGGTATGTTCATCTGAATCGAGAAATATTGAAAATAGAGAGTCAGAAGCTAATACCTCTTCAGATGTAAGAATTCCAGAGTGGATATCAAGACCTCGTACACCCCTATATGTGGTATTTAACGATCGTGCTTTGATTCAGTTGAACGAAATTTTAGGAACCAAAATTAACGACCAAAAAATAGCGATTGAAAACGTATTACGCGAAGATCCTAGATCAGTGTATTTAAGGCAACGATGGGGTAGTCAGTTTTATACTTTCTTAATTCACGATTTACACATCACGTGTAGATTCGACGATAATAGGGGTATAGTTACAGTTTTTCAAGTTAGACACGCTGGTCGTATTTGTGAATGCGGAGAACCTGAATGGCAATGTTTGGGTCATTCACCACCTTCATCTTAAACGCGTGCACATATGTATGTATGTGTGACTGTATACATATTTATTATGAATAATTTTGTCGCTATATTTTTAAATTTGTCAATAATATTATGAAAACATGATTAATTTAATTTATGCAATCCTTGGGTGTTTTACATCACGTTATATCATCTCATATCACCTTGTCTTTAGGAACTTCCATTATCCGGAATGTTACAGAAAAACTATTTTAAAAAGTTACTTTTTTGCTATTATGTAATAGTTGCAGTTATTGTCATCGTCCAATACAAAACAATTTCTAGATACATTTTTATAATTATTCAGTAGTTAAAAATGA